GAGCTCGCTTTGCAAGCATTTTTATGAGGTAGTAATGTGGTGGTAACCTTATCACTGGGGATTTTTTTTTTCTTCCTTCACATGAATTATCACATCTAACTCCAGAATGAACTAAGCAGTTCACCCAGCCACCGAAGACAAACTTAGCAGATGACACATACTGGCAAGCCTGCATTGTGTTTTCCGCTTCCCTGAACAGTAAGATGTTCTTGGGAGCATTGTGCAAGCCAAGTTCCTTGGAAGGAGAGCGTATAAGAGACTTATTTGTTAAGGTCTAAATCCAGCATAGAGCTAGGTATTCTTAAGTCCATCATAGCCCCTCCTAGGATGAGATTCAGGTGATGTCTGAGTGGAGACCATCCAGGTAGTGACCAGATCCAGAGTCCAATATCTACCAGAGTTCATTTTATATCTACCCCATTATCTATATGAAAGAGATTCAAATGATTTCTAAGGAGATCTTTATCCATACAATCTGGTCACATTCTCAGCATGTATGTTTTTTTCTGCCCCCCCCCCCCGTCTCTCACCTCTTGCACAAGTGAAACTTCTTAAATAACAGAAAGCAACACTTTGCTGTAATGACACTCTGCTGAGGGTGAAATCTCATTGGTGGGCAGCTAAAGAGAGAGGATCTTATTGATTGTGGCACATTGAACATGGCTTTCCCTCCCCTGAGGAGCCTGTCTAACAACAATTTTGATGTACTTTTAGAGTCAGGTGATTAAAAAAAATATGACCAAGTTTTCCAGTACATTTTATAGCCAGTTTTATTGTTCAGGACCACGTTGTGGAATGAAGGGTTAAATTCCCCCATCCCATGATATGGTCTAAGTCCTGAATCCCTGGTAATGCTTACAAGCTAAAAGCATAAGGAAAGTCCTGCTGGATCAGTCCAAAGGCTTCTCTAATCCAGTATCCTATTTCTTACATTGTTTGAACCAGGCACCCCTGAAAAGCCTCAAATAGGACATGAAGGCAATCACTATCTCTGTGGTTCTTCTCTAGAAACTGGTATTAGGGGGTTCTCATCCTGGGGTTGGTTATAGCCATCATGACTAGTAGCCATTTATAGCCTTATCCTCTATGAAAGTGTATCATCCCTTTTTAAAGACATCCAACTTGGGCACCATCATCACAAATTCCACAATGGGTGGGGTTTCCCCCCGCACACACAGGTTTACAGCATCGTTATTAACAAACTACAAGGAAATACCGCTCTCACAAAATCCTACTAGCTACTCTAAGCCAAAAAGAAGCTCCTGGTGTTTTGTTTCTGTTTCTGTTGTTGTTTTTTGTTGTTTTTTTAAAAAAGATGAACTCCTTTTCATTTAGATTTTTTTATGGTCAATTAAGCTTTCTGAAATTAAGCTGGCAATTTATTGGCATTACCCCAAGTTATGTCTGGCATAGTTAAAGGCTTCTCATCAGCTTGTATATCATAAATAGGTAGGTGGCAAGAACATGTCAGAAAGAGATTAATATGCTTTGTATACACTGTTCAGACAGGTTCGTTGTAATTCACTACTCTGATTTTTATCCCAGAATGAGGTTTGGGGCCTAAACCACAACAATGAACAAGTTCCATTTTATGGCTCTATATGCGTTTGTCTAAACTGGCATAGCTGTAGGTCAAGCGAAGGACTTCAGAGCTTTAATACAATGTTTGCTAGCAAAGGGCAGAACGACTAGCTTTTTGCTATATGCATATGTGCATGGCAGATTTACTGGCAGGATCGCAAGGGATATATTCCTCCGGCTTTCTCACAGTAGCATATTTTCTAGTGTTATTATGGGGATAGGGCTAGGATTCTCCTAAAAGACATCTTCCAGTTCTGGTTCTTTACTATTTTTTCTACTGTAAAGTATGCAGGCAAGAAAGCAGGTATAGTGACACATTAGTGAGTAGTAGAACAATGTTCTTCTCTTTTTATGTATACATAATACCAAGATTAGGTTTTCCTATTGGTAAAGTCTTCTTCTCCCCACTTGGGGAAGAAGCGCACAAAAGGTTAAATCTGATGAAGAGTTCTATGTAGTCTGAAAACTTAGACACTGGTAGGATTCAGCTCTAGCTCTAGCATGGCTCTAGCTCTGCAGTCACCAACATGGCAGCTGGGGGAACCAGCATGTCCACCAGCAGCTCCTATGGCACCCACAAAAGGTCTCAAGAAATAATACCTGAAAACCCCACGATGCAAGAGAAAGTTCTTGCTCTTCCTGCTCTGTTTGCACTGACAAGACCTCTCCAACATTCAACCATGCCCACATTTCAGTGGCTGCCAGGATTGTACATCCACCCTCCCATCCATTCTGAAGAGATGCAAAGAGACCAAGCGTTGTAGGTACCTTTCCCCCATTGTTTGGGGGCTGGGTGGATATGCCCACATCACATTGTAGCCATCTCTTTTTTCCTGCTCTTTTCAGATGCGGCAGCCATTTTGTGTTGTGTCATTTCTCCCGGGTGATCGTTTTGTGACTGGCACCCACGGCGCTTCCTCCAAATTTCCAAATGTGCAGACTGGCACAAAAAGGTTGGCAACCCTGCTCTAGCTGCTCTCCTTTCTCATGTCCCTCCACCCATTACCCATCATCCTGTGGCCAGAACTGTCTCTTTCTCCACAATGCAGGCCTTTGGGGATTTCCTTGTTCATAGCTCAGTCACTTAGCCTCTATTCCACACTCTCCTTTAAATTTAATCGGCTTTAGTTTGTGGTTTAGGAGTCCAGATATACACTGGCTGAAGTTGCAGAGCCCTTCTGACCTTTCTGGAAGGCCCCAGTCTAAATATACTGTGTGGATAAAGGCCTTAGAGGGTGCATTGGGCTGCAACTGAGTGAAGGTGTGTCAAAGTGCTTTGAGCTGTGCAGAGAAGAGCAAAGATGCAGAGCACTTCAGTGGCAGTGGAGTAGGGTATTATCCTGGCTAGGGGACACGGGTGCTGCTGTGGGTTAAACCACAGAGCCTAGGGCTTGTCAATCAGAAGGTCGGCGGTTTGAATCCCCGCAACGGGGTGAGCTCCCATTGCTCGGTCCCTGCTCCTGCCCACCTAGCAGTTTGAAAGCACAAAGTGCGGGAAGGTAAACGGCGTTTCCATGTGCTGCTCTGGTTCGTCATGCTGGCCACATGACCCGGAAGCTGTACGCCGGCTCCCTCGGCCAATAAAGTGAGATGAGCGCTGCAACCCCAGAGTCAGTCACGACTGGACCTAAAGGTCAGGGGTCCCTTTACCTTTTTATTATCCTGGCTGGTAGGGCAACTTTGGTGCAGTTTGTTGAATGCATTTTCTTAGTGTTTTATCATGGAGGGCGGGGCTTCTGTGTCCTCCCTAAGCAACAGAGTTCCCATAGAGGTGCACAGGACACCTTTGTTGTTTAGCTTTAGTGGTAATCTCTATCTGTGTGTGTGTGTGGGTGTGTGGGTGGGTGGGTGTGGGTGTGTGTGTGTGTCCCTTGCGCAATTGCATTTATATATCCCACATTTTCCTTCCAAGGAGCTCAAGGAGGCAAACCTGCCCCCCCCCATTTAATCCCGACAACAACCCTTAGGCTGAGAGGCAGTGACTGGCCCAAGGTCACCCAGCGAGCTTCCTGGGCGAGTGGCGATTCGAACTCTACTCTCCTAGCTCCCTAATTAGGAGCCACTATCAATTCCTTGGATTGGAAATGGCTTCAACTGATTATAATCTCGCATTAATGTTATTATTATTGTCCACATTGTTGTAACCCGCCTTGGGGTTCTAACGGTGCCGGCCCCCCTTTCATGTGTTCGAAGTTGTGCGATGCGTTCCAAGGAAGGCTTAGAGCTGCTTATGGGATGGCTCGACGTGAGGCGGAGCGCGGGAGAGAGGCTGGTGGAGCGCCAGGGGCTGATTCCCCTCCAACAAGCCAATCCGACGACGCAGCATGAGCGCGCTCATGGCCGGGACTCCCCAGGGAAGAGAGACGCGTCTTGCGTCCCGCCGAGAGTCCCTTGCGCAAGAGCAGAAAGTCGAGGGCAGAGAAGGAAAATCTCCCACCACGACCAGTTGCCTGGATTCTTCTGTACGTGTGGAGGTTTCTTGAGTGATTCGTTTGTCTCCTTATCTTCTCTCTCGTCCCCAAAGCAGCCTCTCCAAAGCCTGATGGCGCGGACCTGTTTCTTCTTGCCTTTGTAACGTCGAGCCTACCTGCAAAACATCACAGACCCCTGAAAGAGGCGACGCGGGCGTGTAGTTCTTTCCCCGAGCGGCGCTGCCGCAGTCCAGTCTCGGCGGAGAGACGGGGGAGAGAAAGTCACGTCTGGAAATCCGTCTGGGGCTCCGTTTCCTCACCGCAGCTTAGCAGGAGGACCAGAGGGAAAGGCTTCCTTCGCGGCGGAGTCAGAAGTTCCCGATTTGTACTTTCCTTCCACCAGCACACCCCTCCAAAAAAAGAAAGAAAAGAAAACACCTTCGGCTTAGGATTCGCCCAGAAGCCAACCGATGCTCCAGAGAAGCCCTCGCTCCACAGCAAGGAAGGGAACCGTCGCCGGACCCCCCAAAAGATGTCAAGGAAGAAGTTGCTTCTTCTGGCGGACGTGGATTTGTCTTGATCTTGGGGGCAGCTCTCCTTGGAAAGCCCTGCGGGGATCTAGGACGACTTCCCTTCGGAGCAAGTGAGTGATCGCCTGCCTCTGTTTGGCGGACGGCCAGAGAGATCTACCTCCGCTGCTTGCCTAAGCGCGGCTTCTTGGTTCTTGGCTTCCCCGGGCAGGTCGGGCTTTTCCTGCTCTCCACGCGACCGGTCCTCACGAGACGCGCCGAGAAGGAAGGGCAGCAAGAAGAAGATTGAGAGGCGAGAGAAACTTGTTGCCTCTGATTCGAGCCTGGCTCTTGCCTTATCTTCAAGGAGTTTTTAAAAAGGAAATAACCCGATCCTTTTCCCAGGACAGAAAGTGGCTGCCTGGCTTAAGAAGCAAACCCGAAAAGCCCACCCGGTGACTTCCCTGATGTACCCTAAGGAAGAGATCTGAACAGGACAATGTATGGGCAGTTTCTCAATGCCACCAGCGTGACTGACCCTCACCTCCTCATGCAGACCAACACGCCCTACGTCGGGAGCACCCAGAGACCCGTCAGCTCGTCGGCTCTTTACATGTCGACCGCCCGGGCGTTAAAAGAAGGCGAGATCAATAAGCCGGATCTGGTGACTTACATCGTCCTGTTCTTCTTCTTGCTCCTGGCGGTGACCATCATTGTACTTTTCATTAACTGCCAGCTGAAGAATTCTTTTTTCGCCTCTCTACCTTACGACAGGTCGCTGAGAGAAGCGAGGAGCCCGTGGAAAACGCAAGCTGTTTAATCCTCAGACTTAGGAAATTGGGGGGGGGGGGGGAGAGAGAGAGAGAGAGAATGTCCGCTATGAGCTTTGTTGTGATATACAAGGGTCTTGGGAACCCAACGCACTGTATAATGGCATCCTGTTTTCATTTGCCCCCGGGCAAAATCCTGCCACATATAAATATGATTTTTCTTAAAGCAAGCAAGAGGAAACGTTGTCGGAAGGCGGGTGGTGAGGGAGGAGATAATAACGTGGACTGCTTGAGGCATGGCAAAAAATGGATGTAAATAAAAAGACCTAATGTGGATTTATACGAGTAAGGTGTTGTGATGTATCTCAAGGTACACAGACCACGGTATTTCAGACTGCAGTTTAAAAGCCTGGATGCAAATTTCAACATTGATAAAGTTCAGTTTTCATATAGTCGTGCTTGCACTGATGACAAAGACATGCAGCTACCCCCTGGCAATGGCATTACTGACTATGCTTGTGAAACATGGGTGGTAGCCAGCATGGACGTAGGCAAGATTTATGTTAGGGGGCCAGTACCCAGTTATCTGTGATGCAATTGGTTAGTTAAGTATGTTTTTGTTTTATTTAGTTGATTTGGGGGGCTGCTGTCCATGGTAGCAAGTGATAGTCCTACTCAGAGTAGACCAATTGAAATTAATGGGCCTAATGGGTCTACTCTTAAGTAGGACCAACATTGGATACAACTATATTCTTAGCAGCTCTCCACCAAGGAAATTAGGGTTTTTTCATCCACCCAGAACTCTCTAGTTTTCATATGGGGGGGGAGCCCATTCTGAAATCTCAGGTCTGGCTGGATGCCTACTATGGTTAAATCAACTGGCATTATTTTTCTATGGTGTTAAATTTTGAGGTTATAATTAGGTTTGTATTGTTATTCTCCGCATTATTCTGCAATGAGACAGATAAGGCCTCCAAGTAATAAAATATAAAGCCCACAAACTATGACTATCCAGCACTAACTAAAGAAAAGGGGTATTCCATAACTTTTTTGCAGTTTGTTTCACTGCACACATTTCCCCCTAAGTCTGTTCAGACTTTTTATCTTACATATATTGCCCTTTTCTTTGTTAAGCCAAGGAAAAGACCTGCGACTTTAAACTAATAATGGTTAAATGTTTACAAGGGGATAAAATTACGCAATTAAGAATTGAAATGAACTGGAGGAGGATGACTAATAAGAATGTTGTCACCTAGTGAGGGTTTTTTTTAAAGGTTACACTGTAATGAAAAGAGAGGGAGAATGTTAAGCCACTAGTGCAAAATTCAAAAAACAGAAAGATATAAAACATATTAAACTGGTTAATTCAGTACTATTAAGCCTACAATTCTAACCATGTCAGCGCAAGAGGAAAGTCCCACTGCATTCAGTAGCACTAACTCCCAGGTAAAGAGGTTTAGGATTGCAGCCTGACCCTTTTTTCTTCCAGGATTAAAGCACAAGATTATTATTAAAACAGACCAGCCTATTTGTCAGCGGTCATATAACTGCTATAACAAGCTGATAGATAGGTTGCTTCCATCACAAACCGCAAGTGTGTTTTTAACTTGCTCATCAGCACCGTGGAGGACACTGGAGTCATTTAGGGCTTTGATCCGTAACCTCAAGTATTATAATAAAACCTGCATTTTGATGACCTGTTATCACTAACTAGGATTCGAGGATCCTTGCCAAGTCATGAACATGAATGAGCACATCTCAATATGCAGACGTAGTACACATGGGGTGTGAATTCAGCTACTCCAGTGTGAAATCAATATATGTGATAAGCATGTCTAGCAGCACAAACATAAGATGTAAGTACAGTTGCTACAGCTTCTTATGCCTGTGTTGCTCCTTAGCGATTGAGGAGGCTACAATGATAAGAATGTCAGTGGGTGTGTCTGTTGGCTATGTTGGTCTACACATCAAAATGACAATATACATGCAAGTGCAGAGGATTTAAATCAAATCTAGACCTGAAGCTGGCAACTAATCAAAAGCTAGGATTGCGGTGGATCACAATTTATTGAGCAATAGTAATATATTTTAGAAAAGAAGGGAGCATTTTGTATGGCTTTTCTCACTCGCAAGCACTGCAGTGGTGAGGAATTCTACCTTTTCCACAAGACAGACACAGGTGTCAGGTTTGCTGTTGATTCTGGGAACTACATAGGGTTCGGTAGAGAGTAACAGTTTGCATGTATAAAAGATTCCTTCTAGGCATGCTCAGATAAAGGATTTAAGGCATAAAGACTTGAATATTCTGGACGTGTTGCTTTGAAATCTGCTGAGCTAAACTCAGAGGAACACCAAACTGTGTAAGATGAAAAAATTGTGTGCCTTCAAATGTGTTTGCATTTGCTGCTCTGTGTGTTAAGACTGAAAAGAAATATCTGAAAAGCCTTGCAGGCTGTTCCACTGTTTATACATCTTGATAGTTGCAGACACAGAACAAGCTTCTAATTTTTTTATGTTCTCACTTATTTAATAATGGTTTGGCTCCTAAGCTATGATTCTGTATATGATGTCAATTAAATCATCAACCAAGATTTCACTCAGCCTAAACATGGAGTTAAATCACCTTTGACTTAAGACACTAGTGTCCTAATTCTGAACACACCAATTAAAAAAGTAGTCTAAAGTAAATGCAATAGTAAATTTGCACAATACAAATATATGTATTGTACTCTTTTATTTTTATTTTTTAAGTAAACCATCAACAGAAGCTATGCAAAAAAATATATATCAATTTTACTTGACAGTTTGGGCAATAACAGCTACCTGTATAAATCAAGGTAGTTTAGTATTTACAGTAAGAACATAAGAGACAAAATGACTAGCTAAATTGCCTGCCTGAACAACTTCTGTGTGTTCTTGCATTTTCACTTCCCCTTCAGTGCTTTGACCATTGCAATGGGGAAAAGAAATGGCACCAATGCATTGAGGACATGAAATAACATGTCAGAGGTTCCCAGAGGACAATGAAAACATCACTGCATCTGTGAGCTCTCTCTTTCTTCATCTTGCTTTCTTAGAATGGACCAGATTAAGAATTTTTGCCTTCATCTCCTTGTAGACTTCCTAGAGACAGCAGGTTGGCCACTGTTGTAAAACAGCAGGTTTGTATACAATCTTCCATGCGCATAGTGCTGCTTCCCCCATGTTCCACCCAAATCTGCTCTGGGATGGGGAACAGATTTTGAGGGGAGGACTGGAGGGGAACAGGAAGGCAGAGGAGGCTCTATTTTGTCCAGTGGAGCTGCAGTGCTGGGCATGACACCATATTCTCTCTCTCTGTTTTGGTGTGTGTGCATGTGTGCACACATTTGTTCTCTCTCTCGCTCACATAGCCATGATCTTGTGGGAATCCATATCAGAGTAGTGCTATTGAAATCAGCAATGACATAATGGCTAGTGAGTTCCTACAGAAATGTAGCCTTGGGCTGAATTAAAAAAAAGCCAGACTGATTGTGTGTTGATGCACCACTGACCTTTGTGTTCCATATTTTGCCTTGAGCCATTTGGATACCAAGGCACAACAGAGTTATGTGATCTTCGCCAGAAATTAAACAACAGTGAGTGCCTGAATTTTGATAGTATAAGGATGTCTGGCATGATATCAACACCACATTATCCTGCAATATACTGTTGATAAGTTTGTGGGTGCCAGGCTCCTCTAAATTCCTGGAACCAGTAAGTGTCAGAATTTCATTAAGGTTTGGGTGTTAAGCCAAGTATTGGACTACTCTGGATTCAGCCCCTCTAGATGATGGGTCATTAAGAGAAATAAGCATCAATGAGCTTGTGAGAGGCAGCCAATGGGTGGGGGACCTCCCTCCCTCAACAGATAAAGCCAGAGTTTAGAGTAGAGGTGTAGGAGTTATGTCACAGAGAAGAAAGGCAGCCAGCTAAAAAACCAGAGAAGATGGAAAGAAAGAGGAAAAGCCACAGCTGATTTATGTTTGAGTCCAAGGCTGTGGCTATAGGAGAAAGAAGACACTTTTGGGGTGTTGATGCTGTGAACCCCTCCATCGTAAGCAGGTTGTAAAGGTAAAGGTAAAGGGACCCCTGATCTTAGGTCCAGTCGCGAACGACTCTGGGGTTGCGGCGCTCATCTCGCTTTATTGGCCGAGGGAGCCGGCGTACAGCTTCCGGGTCATGTGGCCAGCATGACTAAGCCGCTTCTGGCGAACCAGAGCAGCGCACGGAAACGCCGTTTACCTTCCCGCCGGAGCGGTACCTATTTATCTACTTGCACTTTGACGTGCTTTCAAACTGCTAGGTTGGCAGGAGCTGGGACCGAGCAGGGGAGCTCACCCCGTCGCGGGGATTCAAACTGCTGACCTTCTGATCAGCAAGTCCTAGGCTCTGTGGTTTAACCCACAGCGCCACCCGCATCCCTGTATATATGTATAAATAAACCATATATCATAAAGATACCACAGTATTCACTATGCCTCATTTTCCAAAAGGAAACACGAACCCGGGGTGAGCACCTGGAATGCCTGGAATCTCTCACCACTCTGAGATTGGGATGGTGTGTAGCAACATTTTCCCTGATTTAACAGCAGGTAACATTCCTACTCCAAATGGGTCTGAAAGCATATAGACAAGGCTGGATTTGGTCAGTGGTCGGATGGGAGACTTCCTGGGAAGCAAATATATGTTCCATAACAGAAAAAGGTTGTAAGGAAATGAATAAATCCCGGGTAGTTTGTATATTTTCTTTCTCCCAGGTCACAGCTTTTAAGCTATTTCTATTATAAAGGATGGCCGTGCAGTTTAAGACTCAGTGGTGCTATTCTGGCCTTTGTAGCTTTAAGCAAAAATACATTATTGCAGTGATTATGCAGGGGAGGAAGGGGGGAAATAACAGAAGCAGAATTGCAAATGGGTAGGTGTGTCACACACTGTCACGTCTCAATCACCCAAGATGCAATTAGAAAGGCACAGCTGAGGCCCTGAGTGGATATGCTTTGTGATTAGTAAGCTGCAACTTCAATCTCCA